GGTTCATATCAGAGACTACTGGTTCATATCAGAGACTACTGGTTCATATCAGAGACTACTGGTTCATATCAGAGACTACTGGTTCATATCAGAGACTACTGGTTCATGTTAGATATTACTGGTTCATATCAGAGACTACTGGTTCATGTTAGAGACTACTGGTTCATGTTAGATATTACTGGTTCATATCAGAGACTACTGGTTCATGTTAGATATTACTGGTTCATATCAGAGACTACTGGTTCATATCAGAGACTACTGGTTCATATCAGAGACTACTGGTTCATGTTAGATATTACTGGTTCATATCAGAGACTACTGGTTCATATCAGAGACTACTGGTTCATATCAGAGACTACTGGTTCATTTCAGAGACTACTCGTTCATATCAGAGACTACTGGTTCATGTTAGAGACTACTGGTTCATATCAGAGACTACTGGTTCATATCAGAGACTACTGGTTCATGTCAGAGACTACTGGTTCATGTTAGAGACTACTGGTTCTACTGGTTCATATCAGAGACTACTGGTTCATGTTAGATATTACTGGTTCATATCAGAGACTACTGGTTCATATCAGAGACTACTGGTTCATATCAGAGACTACTGGTTCATGTCAGAGACTACTGGTTCATGTTAGAGACTACTGGTTCATGTTAGAGACTACTGGTTCATGTTAGAGACTACTGGTTCATATCAGAGACTACTGGTTCATATCAGAGACTACTGGTTCATATCAGAGACTACTGGTTCAGAGACTACTGGTTCATATCAGAGACTACTGGTTCATGTCATAGACTACCGCTTTGTGTTGGAGACTGTTTTGTCACAATGTATTTACTCACATAATACATACTTCTGATTTATTAATATTGTACACAATGACACTGACAACTTAAAACAGGAGAAACAAAGCTTTTCTGTGATGTACTCTAGGCATCAGAAAACTTTTGTAATTTCTCTTAATCTCAGACTAATTATACAATACCACTCTGATTTCTCACTCTGGTAATCCAGCTAATAGCCAATAAATTAATTACAGCATTTCACTCTGATTTCTCATTTTACATCCAGAAACATAGGTTGGGGGTTCATTGCAATACATAGAACTGAAACTATGGTTTGGAATATAAGACACTTAATTACTGCTCAATGTAAATCATCAGATATTGAATTTGGTGACTATTGTAGGTAGCCAGTCACAGAGCAGGGCTCACAGATTTAGTAGATTTATGGTAAAGCTAAATGACAAGGTAGGATCAAAGCACTTGTTGTTTGTCAGTCAACAAGAGTGTCTGTTCCAGCATTTGATGAGCTGTCCCATACTCTTAGTGGAATTGCTTTGTTTGTACAAGATGGTGGGACTGATGTGTCACCATGGCGACTGAAGTCTGGGAAACATCAAAATGACAGCCATCTTCATAAGAGGTCACATGATATACCTACTGTGAGATCCCATGTCTGTTGCCATGACTGTCACAGCCAAAATAATACTCCTCATCATGTATCAGGTTGGTTAGCACTGAGGAAACTTACCCGACTGTCATGGAGGAAATTATCATTCTCACAAATACAGTCACACATGTCTGTCTCCCAGAGGTTCTGTCTGTAAGAACAGGCTTCTCAGGACAGTCTCCAAGACAGCAATATATATAGGTTTGCACTTAGAATTAGATCAGGTGATTCTCCACCAGAAAATTATGTCCTGGCAAAAACATATGTATCAAATGCCAGGTTACAGAGAAAATTTGTCCCGACTTTTGATTAGGAAAAAAAAGGAATAGTACTGTCTCCCAGAACAGTGATTGATGAAAAGTGTAGTTGTAGAGAAATAGGACTGATACAGAGACACATGTAGAAGAGTGAAATTACAGAGGAGAGCAACATGACTACCACACATTGACAGCCATCCAATTAGGACCAACTTCTAGTGTTTATATAGGTCTATATTGTTCATGTCTTCTGTATCTGTTGTTACTTTACTAGATTCTGTGTCCCCAAAACGTCTTCTTAACCATTAGTCCCTATTCCAAACTAACCAGATCACTAAATTGTCTCTTGTGTATCACTTCAAAATCTGTGATCCATTCTTCTTCCTTGCACTGTATCCTCCACTCGCTCTGTCTTTTTCTTCATCAAAAGTCACTTTCTTCCACACTTCTTTCCATCCTTCTGTCTATCTCTAGTGAACTCTTCTCAATTTCTAAAACAATACCATCTTACTCTGTCAGCTTTGTTAAAAATTGTACATATTCCATCTGATTCACCGATATTTGAAGTTAAATATCTGTTAAACTTAAAAAAAAAAAAAGGGTAATGTTGAAAAACAAAACCTTTCATTTCACTTAAACAGAAGTGAGTGTTGTTGTCTGTACCAGTACTAAGCACAGTCACTTTTTGTCAATATAAAGCTGTTTTGGTGTGATTGCATTTTTTGGCATTCAATGATTTTTTGGAATCTTAACTGCTGTTACTAGCGATTTGAAGCCGTTGCTATGGTTACTGAGAAAACCACTGTGACAATGTCTCTGATTGAATTTGGCTTCTGAAGGCAATTTGATATTCGATCAAGGTCATTTGAGAGTTTATATTTTTTTCTGTGTGATGTTCTTAAAGTGCATGAGAAAGTGGAAAATCAATTTTGTTATAAAATTCTGAAAACAAATTTCTACATTATGAAATATACTTCAAAGTCTACACATTTCCATAATTTTGCACATTTTTTTCCCATTGAATGTGTTTGGTGTCATTCATGAATGAAATTGAGCTTGTATCAGTACCGATGATACTAGCAGTAGTAGTGCTACCATTTCATGTTTTCCAATCGATATAGTTACAATTCCATCAGGATGCCAACTTGTTTTTTTTTAGCCTCTGTGACAGTGCTCCTTGTAACAGGCATGGGGTGAAATAAGAACTGTCATGTGATACATTCATCATAGAGATATTGATTGTGTACTCGACCCTTCTCATCAATATATCATTGCAGGGCCTGCACGTACCAATGTCACACTTCCACAAAGTTTGGCAGGCAAACAAACTATTGATCCCAACTCAACCAGTTTGATTTTCAATTGAAATTATTTGAGTTGGATGTGACAACCAAGACCTCTGTTTCCTTGTGGTTTCTTGGGAACATTTTGTACTCATTATTGTGGTTGTCTGAAACCTTGATAACTCAGGTGAAGTAATCATGGAAAGATACATTAACATGTTTGACATGAAGGAGTGTAAAAAAACGCACACACAAAATCAATAAATCTATCAAACACATACGAACCCAGGATTTTACCTGTCACATGTACAAGCACTAGATTTTACCTAACACATATGCTATCAAGATTTTACCTGACACATGCACAAAATTTAACAAATATACAAATACAACAATATACACAGATAACAGGTTCACAACCCATACAGAAACTTTCTATCATGGAAAACAAGCAAAGCTATCTGTCTCTGCAGGAGAGTGGAGAAAGTTACTGGGGAAGTGTTTATAAATCTGTGTGTGTTCCTAACACCATCATTGACCATTGGTTTAACAGTTGCTACCATTAGATTGCTGCTTATATCATTTTAGTCTATTTTCTCAAATCTCAGTTAGAATCTCAAAATCATTTATATCAAAGTTTGCTTGCTTCCTTTAAGACTTTTTAACTGTAACACTAAGTTGGAAATCTTTGTTTGGTGAAGATACTATAATAAAACTAACAAGTCTTTGTTGGTGTGTGGTAAATTGAAGCCTGAAGTGATTTCACCCCTCCTCTCCTCCTCCTCCTCCTTCTCCTCCACAAACTCTGCTGCTACAGGTCTTCTGACAAACACATAAATTACACATCTACTGATGACTGGGTTAGTAAGAGAGTGACACAGGGACATGCACCACTACACAGTCTAAGACAGGGTTAAAGTGGTACAGAGGCAAAATTACATCTAGGGTAAGTGTGGGACGGGACACGACTGAACTCACATAGATATGCATGATATCAGTCTTTAACCTATTATGTTATGTACCGTAGTAGAATAGTGAGATGAAAAGTACTTATAACCAGAGGATTATCTTTAATTGAAATATACTTAATGTACACATTTAAACAGACATTTTTATTTCTTATACATGTGTTTTCCTTTATATCATCACATTAAGAATTTAAGTTTTCTTTGTTGTTAGATTAAATCTCATGATAAATAAATAAAACTAGGTGGTGTTTAGTACTAAGGATTTGTCTGATGTCAGCTTTAACACCTACTTACAGTTCTGGTCACCAGTTAGAGATATCTGTCACCAAGAGATTAAATTCTAGAATTTTGATTTAGAGATCATTGTCAATTTTTTCTATTCTCTTTACATTTCACTATTCAACCTTGGAAATGTGAAGAACAAAGGAAAAATAGAGTGCCTAATTGATGTCATTCACCGGAGTAATAAAAAATAATTTATAAAGTAATGCAATATTCAGCGATACTGCTTTACCTGGGGTTGTCTTGTGCCTGAGTCTTATGTCTACAGTCATTTATTAGTAATGGTGAGTGGGATTTAAACTGCTTTCTGGCATGCTTGATCAACAGTGACCAAAGGTAAGGCTGGCATTTGTCCCGTACTGCTGTCTACAGTTGCATGATCTGACCTCATACGAAGATCAATAATAGACAGATATCATGACACCAAAAGACTTCCCCTTTCATTTTATCAACACACCTGTGTGTGGAGGCTCTAATTGAAGAGATAAAGCTAATTAATGACTGCTCCCTAGGGACTTTTGATTTCTTTAGGGTCCTGTCAATACATCTGTCTCTTTTATGAGACATTGTGGGACAGAGAGACTGTCTCAGAAACCTTTGTTTATTTTCCAGGTATAAAAACACATGGATATGATCCATGTAATAAATCTTCCTATTTGATTTCAGTATTTCCTATTAACTTTTAGGTACATATTATATTGAAATAGGTGAATTTTACCTGAGTTATATCTGTGATTTCATTTATGTTTTTCAGCACTAGACAAGCTGGGTTATAGACATATATTCAATCTCGGGATGCAGGTGGAAGTGGTCCAGCCTAACATTGTCTTTGATATTGCCAGCCTGATGTTGTATGGAGCCCAGGCAACACCTATACGCCTCAAGATCCTCCTCGACCGCCTCTTCAGTGTTCTCCAACATGACGAGGTCTTACAGGTCCTTCAGGGTTTTGGCTGGAACTATGAGGACTATGCTCGTGGGTACATACTTCAGGTAAGTACTGCTGTGTGAACCTCAGGGGTTAAGGTGGGGTAGGGGTACACCTTGTGGTTGGGGGTACATAAGACAGGAGGGTTGTGTGTTGTGACCCAGTGGTTGGGGGTACATAAGACAGGAGGGTTGTGTGACCCAGTGGTGGGGATACATAAGACAGGAGGGTTGTGTGACCCAGTGGTGGGGGTACATAAGACAGGAGGGTTGTCTTACCCAGTGGTGGGGGTACATAAGACAGGAGGGTTGTGTTACCCAGTGGTGGGGGTACATAACACAGGAGGGTTGTGTGACCCAGTGGTGGGGGTACATAAGACAGGAGGGTTGTGTTACCCAGTGGTGGGGGTACATAAAAACAGGAGGGTTGTGTGACCCATTGGTGGGGTACATAAGACAGGACGGTTGTGTTACCCAGTGGTGGGGGTACATAAAAACAGGAGGGTTGTGTGACCCATTGGTGGGGGTACATAAGACAGGAGGGTTGTGTGACCCAGTGGTGGGGGTACATAAAAACAGGAGGGTTGTGTGACCCATTGGTGGGGGTACATAAGACAGGAGGGTTGTGTGACCCAGTAGTGGGGGTACATAAAAACAGGAGGGTTGTGTGACCCATTGGTGGGGGTACATAAGACAGGAGGGTTGTGTGACCCAGTAGTGGGGGTACATAAAAACAGGAGGGTTGTGTGACCCATTGGTGGGGTACATAAGACAGGAGGGTTGTGTTTCTGATCAGATTCAAGTAAAGTATCTATGATGTTGACCTTGAAATTAAGAAATTTGGATAAAATTTAAAGTAGTTCTCTTATTTCTTCTTATTTGGTTTAGTGAAACATTGTTTGTAAAACTTTTATCTCATGTATCGCTCAACAGAGCCACTAATTCACCGTGTTTCCCTTCCATTGGTATGGTGATAGAAACACCACACTGATTGGTTACTGTTAAATTGTCACCAGTCATAATCAGTGTTTCGAAGATTTCTGATAAATTTACTGGTAAAAATGTAATAGATAGTCAATATGTTAGTTATATTGTGTAGTCAGGAGAGGATGTATTTGTTAGAAGAGTTATCAATGATTACAAGCTACTCACAAAAATACGGGTGCAGATGGTTTCTATGAAAATGCAACGTATAAAATTGTTAGTTAAACAAGTGTTGAAATCTGGTAAAACATCAACACCAAACACTACCGGTGAATGTAGAGACTTTAATAAGAAATTGTAGTGGTTTTACAGGACATTACAACATTTTATTATGTTTAATGAAAATCATGCTGATATGGAATAAATCAAGGGGGATTACTCCTGGACCTGAAAAAGTGATACAGGTGCAGGGACTGTGTAGAGTTGGCTGTCCCACATTACAGGCACTCCCATTGGCAGCAGATTCCATCTCATTACTCGCTGCTGTAACACAAAGCTATTTTTGTGACGTCACAGTGATTTTAAAACAGATAAAATGGAATACGAAGAACAGTCCTTAGACTTTATATCAAACATCAAACAGAAGCACATGTTTAGAGAACAAATATCAAACCCATTTATTGTAACAATAATATATATTCAGACAATGAGAGTCGTCATCAAAAATTTTCCATCAATCATTAGTTGTATACAAGTGCAATGCAGGTGTTAGGATGGTATTTCTTTAAGATCTGAAACAGGTATGGAAAATATGTTCAGTATATCAGTTGATTGTCTTAGTTTGTCTAAACAGAAAATTTTTCATATGATATTTATAAATAATCTGTATCTTCATTGTAAGCTGGTGTGTACGTATCTTATAAGGTTTTGTTTCGTTTTTTCAGTAATAAAGTCAGTTAATGCCTTTTTACTGGTACTACCTTTAGTTTGACTATTAACAATGCGGAGTAGAGTAAAGGTTGGGGGAAGTACACAGTGACGACAGACATTCGAATAACATCACTGTTTCATGTCGAGATTACCAAGTGTTTACCTGCTCCGTAATCAAAACGCTATCCCAGAACATTTCTGGCACATGGATCGTCAGGATTTCTCCCATCACGCTGGGGTCCCTGCTGATGGGGAGTGACAAAATTAGGGGCTTTTAAAGTCCACACAAGACACAGATGCCATCAGTTGAGGGGGGATGCATGTTTCTTGTGTGTGTTGCTAATTTAAATAAATGGGGGATGTTAGGGGAAGAGACAGGAATGCGAGGGTCAAAAAGGAGTCAGAGTTTTTCAATTTTTGGGATAATATTTTCATTGCTTGTGTGTTTTCTATGTCAAAAGGTGTTGCTGTTTCTTGTGCCACTGTTTTGTAATTTTACAAATTCTCTCTGCAGAAATATTTAGTTGAAGCATTAAAACCACGGGCTTAATTTGTCAGTTTGTAATAGTGGAAATTGTTTATAGACCAAACAATACATCAGTTTTACATATGTAGTGACATTGTATTAAATTTTAAGAAACAGCTTGCTGAAATTCAATTTAAAAAAAAAACATCTTCCAAGTTAATTTACAAATTATTTATTATTAACATTAATGAAATTTCAGAAATTTTTCCCTCTGAACTGTAACAAGTGAAAGTGGATGCCACTGTGCTTGTGTTACCTGTGGGCTTTATTTTATCTCAGCATTGTCTTTTGACGAGTTGAGTGGCTTAAACACTATCTGGAATCTTGTTCTGATTGTTTGTTTTACACTAAAAATCACACTTACAAAAACCAATAAGAAATGTGATCTATGAAAGGACATGTGATAGAGGGGGTGCTCCCTTTAGCTACCTTGGAGATGTAGCTTCTTGGCAGATAATCAAGGCTTTTTGGAAATGATAAAATGAAATGTGTTCGCCTGAAATTGTCAAATGTGTTTTTGCTTTCCACTTATCTGAGGGGAGGTTTGCGTTAGGGTTTAATGTCGTAACATGATTTTCACATTAAAATGGATGGTATTGGTAGATGAAAGTGCACATGCGAGGCACGTGGCACTCAGCTCGTTGGAGCGACGTAGGTTATTTAATAGCGAGGTAGCTCCTTTCGCAATTATAACCATATGCAAATTGTAGGTAGAATCTGCAGAATTCTAAATTGTATAATTGGATAGGAAATAGATTGAAAATTTGGAACTGCAATGTTAGTTAACAGTTTAGGGAAGACATTGTTTCACAGTGGGCAAGCCGTGTTCTAGACGCTTTCACAAGTCATTAAGATTATGGCACCAAAGGCGAATTGGTTTGAGGCCTAATTAAAGGGATTCATATTCGTAGCTCCCAAAAGTCCTTTAATTATTTTCCACTGCTTCTTCTACCCATTGTTATGGAATCTATCCATATCTCACTATGGATGGAAAACCAGGGGGATCATTATGGAAAGCAAAAATGATTCTGAACTGAGAAAATTTTAATTATGCTGTAGATTTGAACTGCAAGAGTTATATTGAAGTAAATGAGAAAACCTACTCAGTACAGTTTCTGGTGTATACCTGGACACCTTAAATCATTAAAATAATTCAACCTTTAGAAGTTGACTGTGGCATCTGTTTCTCGATTTGAGGTCTGGGCGCGAATTCCATGGATACCGTCTGATGTAGGTGTTAAATGTCCTGTGGTGCAATTGTAATTATGGTCGTTTTTTTTTATCAATATCTAAATACTTTATCATTCAGGTTTCTTCCCCAGTCATCACTGCCATGTTATATCTGCTGGGATTTAGATTTTTCAGATACGAGAGTATTTATTGCAGTCCTTCACTCCTAGAATGTCAGTTCAAAGACCTTGTCCTGAAAAATACTTTGAACTGTTATAGATTGAAGAGTTCTGATAGGTATGATTTACACAAAGTCGTGTCTTCTTTCTTTTTAATATTATTTGCAAAATGTCTTTTGAAAGTTGGTAATATATGGATAAGATTTTTAGCAATATTTATAGAGAATGATTTATCACCCAAAAGGAATAATATATAGGTAGTCACAACTGCAAGCACGAATGGCATCTGCTTTTTGAAAATCCTGTCTGCCTTATCTGTGCATCTTTTTTCATCATTTTATCAATCTATTCTTTCCACATCTCTCTTGATTTCTCTGTTTCAGCCTCCTTGCCCCTGTATTTCAGTTCCAATCTTGTTATCTTTCCCCAATCTCTTACCTCAGCTCTGGTAATTGACTTCCAAACTACTGTCAAGTCTCCTTTCTGGTCCATTCTCCCAGCCCTCTCCAGTCATCTTCCCTTATACAGTTTCCTTTCTACTCGGGTCTCATCCTTTCTGCCCTCTTGAGTCCAAATCCCTTACACACTCTTCACCACTTTCCATCTCCTTTCTTTTCTGCCCTGCCCTCTCCATTCCTTTCCAGCCCCTTCCCTTCTGTCCTCCCCAACTCCTTCCTTCCCTCGCATCACCTCTCCAATTCTCTTCCCCAAAATATGCTACTTTATTGTCACAAATGTTTTCATATGGGTACCATTCTGAATAGGAATGTGGATCTGCTGTTAGAAGAGAATTACAGAAATATTTGTGGTATTAAAGAGACTGGTTAACGGTAGTGAGTGAGATTGAATAATGTCCAATAATTGGGGTTGTAGCCCTCATATAACACATTAGATAACGCCAGGGTAGACATCTTCCATTAGTAAAACAGGTGTAAGACATTACAAGTATTTTTGTATAACACTATAGCTTTGTTACAATGGTAATTATGTTGAATTGATACTGTAACATCATCTGACAGCTCCCAGGGGACTGGTCAGGGTCTAAGGGAAGCTTGGACAGGAATACTGACTCCCCTGGGGGCCATGCATCCTTGTTAGTGGTAGTTCTGCTTCAGTGTGAAGCTTGGCCTGTCCCCTGTCATGTTCCTTAGTGTAATTGTTTTACAAAGTCCAGAAAAGGAGCAAAAGGAGCAACAGTGACCATTATATCTCTAGACTGATGGGCCACTAGAGGGCACATTGTGGACGAGAGACTGCCACACATGATCGTCCAACTTCAGACACCATTTCTGTCTTTGCATAAGAAGACAGGTCCTGTCTGAGCTTGGTAGGGACAT